AGAATGATGTAGTTCTGCACAGGCCCCTCCCACGATTGTTGATTGACAGTGGCGTCAGTCTTTGGTTTTATCACAGACCCGCCCTGAGTGAGCTGTCATCAGTCCACCATTGCTTCGACGCTGGAGCAGATGTTGACAAGAATGTCTACTAGCGACACCAGACGGAATAAATACATTGTTTTATTCACTAAATGTAGCATTGCCACGATGATGTTAGTTTGTTGCAGGCATTGCTATGCGGTTGCTAAGATGCTTGGAGTGTTTTTCCCATGTTGATATAGGGTTGCTAGAGTATTATTAATGTATTCTGAGGAGTTTTATTATATATTTACTGTTATATAATTTTTTTTTCAGTTTTAGTAAATTTGTTGTGTGCTTTTGTCGTTTTTATTATTTTGTATTTTTCTATTTAGCTTTAATTTATATGGATTTTAGTTTATTTCCGTTTATATTTTTCATTTAACTTTTTAACCTAAAGGGCACCTATTAGGCAAAATTCACTTTTACATGTTGTTTGAACATAAATGTGTGTTGGCATTGTGTGTACACAACCACCCTATAATGATAAAAATTCATCCAGTGTTTTTTTTTAATCTACTAAAATCATTACCCCTTTCTCAAATCAAGCCATTCTCAGTCTCTTGTCTGTGTGACGTCACACTGACCCAGGCCCTCCCACGATAGTTGATTGACACTAGCGTTTTACCTTTGACCCGCCCTGAGTGAGCTGTCATCAGTCCGCCACTGTTTCGACGCCGGAGCAGATGTAGACAAGAATGACTCCTAAGCGATTGAGGTTTTCTGTTGTTGGATGTAATAATGAACATGGCAATCGTCATTTACTCCCGACATCTGAGCTGCTGAATACGCAGTGGATTACCTTTGTTTTTGAAGGGAATGCGCCCCCAGATCTACCTAAATGCGTCTGTTTGCGCAAATCATTCGTGATCCAGCTTCACCTCCAGAAGAAGTGAGTATAAGTTTTTTTTTTTATGAATCTTTGCAAATAGCCTTTCCTAATAATGTGCTAGTTAGCAAGTTTCATGATGAATGCGGCTAAAGTAAACAGTCTCTCTGAGAGCGGCTCGGAAGAGAGAAGCGGGGTCAGCAGAGCTCATTAACATTTAAAGGAAAATGCTACAAATCTGCATGCTCTGAAAAGATCTGTTTTTGACAGGGGAAAAAAGGTGTTTTTTACACTACCATTGAGAAATTTTAACCAAACTATGTTACAGACTTTTCATTAAGACCCTAAAGAATCATATCAACTTGTGGAAAATGGGCATCTAATGACCCCTTTAAAATATGTAGTGTATAAAAGGGTTAATTTGTAATAATAGTTCATAAAGTTTTTACAGTATTTTTTGATCAAGCGAGCGGCTCGGAAGAGAGGGGCGGGGTCAGCAGAGCTCATTAGCATTTAAAGAGACATGCAAGGAAACGGGTTGCTGTAAACAGAGCTGATTTTGACAGGGTAAAAACGGTGTTGTTTTACACTATCATTGAGAAATTTTAACCAAACTATGTTACAGACTTTTCATTAAGACCCTAAAGAATCATATCAACTTGTGGAAAATGGACATACCTTTAAAGGGATAGTTCACCCAAAAATGAAAATTCTGTCATTAATTACTCACCCTCGTGTTGTTTGAAACCCGTAAGACCTTCATTCATCTTCGGAACACAATTTAAGATATTTTTGATGAAATATGAGGGCTCTCTGACCCTCCCATAGACGGCAAGGTAACTACCACGTTCAAGGTCCAGAAAAGTACCAAGATGATCGACAAGTAGTCCGTGCGACATCAGTGGTTCAACCGTAAAGTTACGAAGCTACGAGAATACTTTTTTGCACAAAGAAAACAAAAATAACAACTTTATTCCACATTTTCACTCGTCACTTGTGGACCCGCGTTCACGACAGTATCATGACACGAGCAAAAAATTATTCTCGTAGCTTCGTAACTTAAATTAAATTGTGTTCCGAAGATGAACGAAGGTCTTAGGGGTTTGGAACAACACGAAGGCGAGTAATTAATGACAGAATTTTCATTTTTGGGTGAACTAACCCTTTAAACCACAGCAACCCCAATAACAGCATGTTTTCACTGAGTAAATAATAACAGGAGTTTAATTTTTTGGTGAACTATCCATTTAATGTCCAATGGAATGGAACCAAGACAAAAGATTAACGATAAGTAAATCATCTGAAAACGAGGGCAGTGCAGTATTAGACCTGCATCAGTCCTAATATCTCAGTATGTTCATATACCTGAAATGCCCAACATAATATCCAAAAAAATACCTTGCACAGCCAAGCTGGCCAAATGAATGGCTTGCTCAATGGAGCACGGGATCTTCCCCTCCAGAACATCTTTCTTCAGCTGGAGATAATACTGATATCTGTGCGGAAAACAGGAAGTGAGTAAAGGTGTTCTAATAGCACTGCTGTGATCATTTTAAACATATTCTCATCCTTAACCTGGTTATCTCTTGTTGTAACTGTGTAACAGACGACACGTAGAACACCACCCCAAAGTAAACGGTTGGCTCCAGCCCATACTTGTCAAGCTGTTTCTTCAGCGGCTTCTCCAAATCAATCCATCTCTGCTGGTTTTGTTTGTTGTAGTACCAGAGGCTGAAATACGTTATCTGAGGAATGAACAGAATTTCACTGATTGCTCTTTCACTCGTGAGAAACAACAGGCCTGGAGTCCGGACATTCATTTAACTTCAAATCAGTTTTTCTGGAGGTGAAGACTGGGCATATTCTCAACGTTTTGACTAAGACGACTCTTTGGCAAAAGATTTGCAGCTAAAAACCAAAGAAATTGAGAGGTGTGACATCCTAAAATAGCCTAATTTCTTTATATAATAACACCTGCTGTTTTTATGAGCTCAGACTAATTGAGATACTACATGCATGGAATATTTAGACATTTAATGTCATGTCACACAGCAGGATGGTTATTGATCTCCAAAAATAGCTAAATGGTGAATAAAACAAGTGTAAAAAAACTGAACAAAAATAATCATCACCTACAGCATCACTTTATACATTCATATACTAAAATATAGACGCTAATAAAAAAAAAAAAGACGACTTGATATGTGTCAAGTTTATAGAATAAAAGTTTTTCTAAACCATTTAAAAAATTTTCCAAATTACATTAAATAATTATTATACAAACAGTTTGTATGATTTATATTACGCTCTAAACTGCATGCATAGAATATTTGTAAATTTTTTTTTTTAAATATTAAAGAGCAGGACTATAACTGATCTACAAAAAATAGCCAAACATGTGAAAACCTCTTTATGATTTCACAAAAGTACCTGCTGACTAAATCACTCTACTAGTTACCTTTACTAGCACACACTACAAACAGTGTGACACACTTATCTAAAACTATTTAAAAAAAACATTTTCATATAATTATTATACATGCTGTTTTTATGACTCGAGTCAAACTACATACATGAAATATTTGTACTTCACCTTACGCATTCATATATATTTAACCTACATTCTTGATGCTAAAATGGACATAATATGTCAACTTTATAGGTTACAAATGTTTTTCCAATTAATTTTGCAACTACTAAGTTAAAAATTGCAAAATCCAAAAACTTCACATTTCAACATGCTATTCTTAATATAAAACTATTTTAATCAACATTTTTCGAATTCCTTTATACAACTACTATAGAAGCTGTTTTTATGACTCATTAAGTCACACACTACATGCATTAAATATTTGTACATTAAAAATCCATACCAAAATGCAAGACTAAATGATGATTAAAATGGGTGAAAACTTAAAACTAGTGATGACCAGTTACATCACATAAATATACCCTGTATATTATACATATAAATTTAACCAATAATCTTGATGCTAAACTAGATATAATACTTGTCAGCGTCATCTAAAACTTCTTTAATCAACATTTTTCAAATTCCCTTTTTATACATTGACTATATAATCAGTGTATGACTCATATTAAGTCACTGACTACATGCATGAAATATTTGTACTTCTAAAAACTCATATCAAAGCACTGGACTATAACTGAATCTGCAAAAATAGCTAAATGGTCATTAAATGGGCGAAAAACTGAAACGAAATGGTGATTACTTACAGCATCTTTAACTTGTGCGTTAATATAAATTTAACCTATAATCCTGATGCTGAACTGGAGATGATATTTACCAACTTTTTCGACTATAAAATAGGGATGTAACGGTATTATCAATATCGCGATATCAAAACTGTGTCGATATTATCGTGGTCACATGACGATATGAAACGATAGGTATTCCGGGCGTATTTCACGTTTTTGTAAAACTTTTTGTTTTCACTGAAGCTGAAGTTTTCCTTCAAAATAAAAGCTCTACTATCGTTTCCATCAAAATATAAGCTTAAAAGTGCAGCATGATTTGCTGACAGCTAGTGGTTTAAATGCAGTCCAAATTCTAAATATCTCTTTCAAGTGTAGAAATTAGGAAAGAAGTATTGTAATTTAGTGTAAAGCAAAGCAAAAATAATATACCTATGAAATATTCATTTTCATTTATTTTACAGTGAAATTATTTTACAATATATGGCTACTATTGTTATTGTTATTAATATTATTATATTCTCATTTGTTTGGCTTCCTAAAACACCAGTGTGAATGTAATTTAGACTGAGACAATATATCACAAATAAAAAGAGGGTTGAGTCCCCTTTAAAGTTCAGGTACAAGTCAATTCACTGACTTTTTTCTGACTTAAAGGGTTAGTTCACCCAAACATTTAAATTAGCCCATAAATTACTCACCCTGAAGTCATCCTAGGTGTATATGACTTTCTTCTTTCAGACGAATCCAGTCGGAGTTATATTAAAAATTGTCTTTGATCTTTCAAGCTCTATCGTTGTACTCAGCGGGTGTTGCATGCATCAGTCCAAAAGACGTGAAATAAAAAGCACCCTTCCACAAAAAAAAGTGTCTCACACGGCTCCGGGGGGTTAACAAAGGCCTCCTGTAGCGAATCGATGCGTTTTTGTAAGAAAAATACAAATGACGTGAAATAAAAAGCACCCTTCCACAAAAAAAAGTGTCTCACACGGCTCTGGGGGGTGAACAAAGTCCTTCTGTAGCGAATCGATGCGTTTTTGTAAGAAAAATATCCATATTCAAAACGTAATAATCACTTGAATCTAGCTTGCGCTCACTGTTGTTCACAGAAGCAGTTCCGGGGGGATGACATATGAGTTCAGCATTGCGCATGCGCCGCTCAGAAGGGGTGCTTTTTATTTCACGTCATTTGAACCGAAGGAATGCAACACCCGCTGAGTACAACGATAGAGCTTGAAAGATCAAATACCATTTTTAATATAACTCCGACTGGATTCGTCTGAAAGAAGAAAGTCATATACACCTAGGATGACTTCAGGGTGAGTCATTTATGGGCTAATTTAAATTTTTGGGTGAACTAACCCTTTAAGTTTTCTTAGTTAAGAACACGAGTTGGAGCTCTTAATTTTGACTCTCAAAGTGCATTAGATAGAATAATTTAACTTTAAAATGTACAAAATTTTCATTGTTTCCCTATTCTTAATTTGTCTTTTTTTCTTTTTAAATATCGCAATAAATACCGTACCGTGGACATCATATCGCAATAACATCATATCGCAAGATTTTGATATCGTTACATCCCTACTATAAAACTTTTTTTTAATTACCAATACTGTAATTTTGCTTGAACTACAACAGCATCAGGATTTTGTAAGCATGCACAATTAATACAGCTCATTAAATCACTGTACTAGTCACCTATAGGCTACTAAACACACTTTACTAAAAGCCACAGTTGGTTGGTCAAGAAAATTAGACTCACACAACATGTCTGAAAAGACACGGCGATCTATAACTAGACATGGATGGCATACTAACACGATAATCTGACTCAAGAGCAGCTGACTGCATGCAAATGAAGCACACAGAGTCCAGGCCGAATTCTTGGCACACATGCATTTAGGGTGTTTGACAGCATTTTGGTAGCGGTCCTAGAATAGTCGAGACTCCAGACGGCACCAGCGAGCTAAAATAAACACACGACCAAACTGCGTTAAGGTGATTTCGACCAGATTAAACCAAAAGCGACGGCAATCCTACCTCCCGTAACTCGAGTCTCTGCGCGACTGCCTCCAGACATTCCTGTCCCGTGCTTTCCACCGAAAGCGTGAACTCCACATATTCGCCGTTGAGCAGCTGTATGCGGGTCACCAGGCAGCTTTTGCTGGACACCGTGTATCTTCTGGTTCTCTTGAGCTTTAATCCGAACGGAAGGGGCATGTTGCACCGGTGCCGCGACCCTCCTCGAGCAGAATGATTGGATTCAGCTTTTCTCTGCGCTTAATCCATGGAGGGGTGCTGGATTATACAGGGCTCCACAAGACAAACACATGAGTCCCTGGATAAAGACAAACCACAGCAAAACAGATTAGCAATGATGACATTCACAGATACAAACGGCCTAAGCGCTCAGAGTCATATCAGTATTTATCTACTCTTTCTGATAAAAATCACAATTGGTGGGTCACAGATAACAAGCAGAATAATATGTAATCATGCATAATTTGGACAGCAAAATAAAGATGGTTATCAAATTTTACAAAGAAGGAAAAAACGCTTTCCATATTTTTTTGAGGTTTTTGAGTCAAAACCATAGACTGTATAAAAACATGGACGTAGTGTCCGTGACGTCACCCGTAGAGTTCCAAAGAGCGTTTTTGAAGCCTAAAGTAGGCGGAGCCAGCCGTCGCCATCTTGGCAGCGCGTCACTGCGCGTCACTCCCGGATAATCGAAAATGGGCAAAGAGGCAGGAGCAGGTTGCTGAAACCACGCCCACCTAGCTCGACGGTGGTGACAGCAGTGGCAATCCACCTGTCACTCAAGTGGCCACGCCCTTAATTATGCAGAACTTTAAGGCTTAATATAATTTAAACGGATGAGTTATAAAAAAAATTCACCCCCCTCACAGTTGTCATGAAGGGCAAAATTAGCTATATAGACCAAAATAATTTTTTGAACCAGGCTGTAAACGTTTTTTTCTGCTGTAAAGTTGGGCATTTTAACATGGGGAGTCTATGGGACTGACTCCCTTTTGGGATGAATTGCAGTTTAAGTCACTTCCGTGTTGGCTTCACTCAAATATCTCTGTCACTTAGTATGACTAATACAATAGTAACTGAAGTGTTTGTTCCATAAAAAAAATACACAGACTATTCGATAAATTACATTTACATAAACGTATTAATTGTGTGATCTAAAGCACACAAGGGGGTTTTCAAACTGAAAAAAAAAAAACATTTAAAAAATGTAAAATAGAATAAAT